TTGGTCATCATGACGACAGAAACGACGACGACCTACTACCGCTACTGCTCCTGCTGGTGCTGCTCTTGCTGGGTACTTCGTGCTGCTTGCTGCTTTCTGTTATTTTTTGTCTCTTGCTGCTTGCTGGCTTCTGCTTGCTGTTGCTAGTAATTGCTGCTACTGCTACTGCTACTGTTGCTTTTGTCCGCTAGAGGGAGAGCCATGTGATCGCATCTACTTTCACCAAAAAACAGCCCCCAACACGAAGACAACCGCGAAACGACAAAACCCGCGGCAAGGGCCTTTCAGCTGAGAGCCGTGGGGCTTCATCATCGGTCATCATCATCATTCTCAGCCCCGTCATCGACGTTAGCATCGGCATCAGCATCAGCATCATCATCTTCAGTTTCGCCATCACCACCATCACCACCATCCCCGAAATTACAATCATTCCCACCATCATGTTTATCATCATCTCAGCATCTTACTGTCATCAGCCTCACTGCGCCTATTGTCAACATTCAGTTTCGAGTGAAGTTATTTATGACAATTTTCACCCTTGTTCACATGTCGCCTGAGGTGCTTCTACCTCGCCCGCTGTTTGGCAGACATCAGGTCGTGAGAGCGTCTACAGAGTCTATACAGGCATATACAGGATGCCCTCCACCTACTGGAGCTCGGCGCGATGCTGATGCGATCTTCGGGGCTCCTGGAGGTCTTCGCAGCGCCCAGCTGAAGGTTAGCGCGCAAAAACTGCCCGATGCCCTCTTCGCGGTCTCGCTGGTGCCGAAGTGAGGAGCCGAGCGGTAAAGCCGGGGCTGAGTCCGAGGCTACCGAGTCCGAGGCCGGTAGTGTCCCTCACAGGCAGTAGAACGGTTCGATCGATGCCAAGCGCATCGGTTTTCATGGCTTCTGTCCAATCTAATTTCGCGTGCTGCATAGTGAACTTGGGGGACTCCCGCCAGTGCACGCTGCCATGCAGTGCAACCGGGTTGCTATTCCTCCTAAGTTGTCGGATGCGCAGATTATCAGAGAGAATGTTTGTAGTGTTTTTCTTCGTCTCAGAGTCCTCTTTGTCTTGATGCACATGGTGTCTCTCTGACAAAAATTCGGACACTGTACGGGGCGGCCTGAGTCTAGGAGGTGATCGAATGCTGATCACGGCAGCACCGCCGCCAGACTCTGATTTCGCAGACAGCAGCTGCCAAAGCAACGTGCATTGAAACAGTGGAAGGCCTGTTCTGCCTTGGGCCATAACGCCATCTGCTGGAGGATGTACTCCTTCGACGTGCCTCGTGATGACTGCACATCGTGCAAAAGCAGATGCATGATGTTGTGTAGTCCAGATATTTGCATGGCACGGGGCCTATCGGACCTGTCGTGATGGTGTTTCACACATAGCGTGAGTACCGGTGCATAGCCCCAACGCATGACACGTAGCAACAGGTGTTTCACGCGTGGGGACTATTTTCCACTTCTATCCTGGTGCTTTAAAGTCTTTGCATCCTTGGTGCGCAAGATCCGAAGACTGCATGCTCCGTGGTCCAAAGTGTGCTCGCGGTTCAACTCATTCATGATCATTCATGCATCTAAGACTGAGCCATGCCAACCAAGGCGCATCTAGGTTGACCTTTTGTGGAGACCCACGCAAGTCAAGCATCAAGAGCCTCACACACACAAGCACACAGAGGCAGTGCTCGATGCCCGTTAGTTCCCTTCCCTGGCGGCTTTCGCGGATCCCCCGTCTGCCCAGCTATCGGCGACCATTGTCGGTTGTGCTATCACCCAGATGTTTCATATGGCTACCATGCTTCCGGCTTCTAGATAAATCCCAGCCTTGGGCAGTTCCCTGCGCCTCCGATCTTAGGACGATGTGCTGCAGATCTACGTCGTTCCTTAGATTAGATGCCTTGAACAAGCACATTAACCCTGGTATCAATTCGCCGTCCTCATTTGCCCAACCAGTGCCTTCGCCTGCAATCACTCTCTGGGCCAAGTCTAAGTCGCCATTCCTTACTCAGCAAGCAAAAGTGAACCCCTGGCGAAAATTCAAGCCAACCTTCCTGGTGCGCTTTATGTCCCAGTTCTCACCAGCTACTCTTTCACTTGACCCTTGAGTCTCAAGTGCAACGGATTTTTCCCGTGAGTCGAACGAAAAAAATTCTTTGATACAAGGCCCCTGACCAAGGAGCCCTGTACACATTATGATTTAGGTCAGCAGCATGGCGCTATTGCTCTTCGCGGTGACAAACCGTGTGTGGTGCGCTTCTGTTGCCGTTTTGAGCCTCCAGTCAAGCGGTCCGTGGCCTGCGACTGGGCAAAACCGCCCACGTGCGGGCCTCGCGCTTTTTGCAGGTCTAGAGGTGGATGACAAACAGCACGGTCAGGAAGCATGGGCTCATTTAGGGCTCGGATAATATTGCGTGCCCCCATCTACGAGGTGATATGCTTTAATTATGATGTGCGTGGCAGCAGGCATCCTGAGCCCACGGCTGCATCTCCCTTGGATGTTTTTTCAAGGGGAAGACTGCCTGTGGCTCAGATGAGAGCAACTGCCCTCCCGATGCAGAGGTCTCTTGCGCAACTCTGTGTGCCCTTTTTGCGCAATGTGGCCCGTGTGGCTGCGTTGAGGTGAGGGCGGCGCCTTCACCCCCCTGGACAGGGCAGTGCGCCCCTTAAGAGCTTCCCGAGCTCAGGTCCGGGGTTGGTTTTAGAACCAGCTCCCTCCAGGCTTCTCTCTTTTTCTCCTCTCTCCTTTTTTGCTGCGAGGTACCTCTGTCCGGGGACTTCTATCGAGAACAAGATGACGTTACACGGGGACTTGTGTGCGGCACTCCGACGATGCGTGCTTGCTGCCCGCCCTTTTTGCTTCCCTGAAGCCCCCCCACCCCCATGGCCCCCCAGGCTCTCCGAGGACGTTTTGGGAGAAACGAGCTACTTCAAGGAGGAGGCCAGGCCCCCGGAAAATTCGGGAAGTCGGGCCCTAAGTAAGAGAGGAAGAAAGGATTCGCTGTTTAAAGGAGACTCCGGAGCACATGAAGTCGGCCTACGCGTTTGCTTCGACCGCTCAGGACGTGGCTGCCGCCTAGCTAGCCTTCCAGCTTTGCCCTGTCTGTCAGGTTCATGAGAGGAAGCCCTAAGCCAGGAGACGTGAGAATCTAGAAATCCAGGGTGGTGTAGGGACGTGTCCTAACTGGAGATGTGAAGTGAAAGCTGCCAGTTGAAGGCCTAGCTTGCTCAAGACCGCTCTGCACAAACTCGTGTGGATAGCGTAAATGGACAGCGGGGCTTTCAAGGCCTCTCCGCCCAAGGCGCCGGGGTCATGAAGAGGAGTCCTGGTTCGAGGTCCCATGGAACCAGGGCTCCCTTGGGACATAGCGGAGCCCGATCCCCTCAGTTCGCCTCGAGCCGGATTCCCTCAGTGAGCCGAGCCGTCTCAGCCATCTGCAATCGCAGGCCGGAGTCTCCCTGCATGGTGGAGTTTGTCGGGGGAAAAATGCGCTGGCGCTTTGTGGAAGAGGACTTCCTTGAGCCGGAGTCGCCAGCCAGGCGCCAGGTGCCAAAGATGCAGAGTCATCAGAGTCGCAGCCAGCCGAACTTGCATGACGTCACGATTGCTGCCGGGTGGGGTGAGAAATCGGAGAAAGAGCGAAGACTCGCCAAGCTCGTTTCCAAACTAGGATACTGCCCAGGTTTGCCGAGACGTGGCTTCGAATCTCGATTAAGCAGCTTCCTTCCGGCTGAATTTCGAGCCGGGTCCTTCAGCAACTATCGACCGAAGCCTCCACCGCAGAAATCCAGCTACTCTGGAGATGTGAACCTGGAGACCCGGCAAAACCTCCGCATTCTGGAGTTGCCGCCAGATGGTGACCGGCTGGTTGTCAGACGCTGGGGTCCAGGATTCTTCGAGTTGCCACCGAAACCAAGCCCGGACAGTGCTCCGAGAGGCATGGACCAGCCAAAACCCTTTGTGTCCCATGGCAATCCCTCTCCTGACATAGAGTCTTCCTTGCCATGAAAAGTCGAAGGACGAAGCCCTGGAGATGCGAGAGCCTGCATGGTACCGAAGATCGGGCTGGTTGCGCACCCGCTTTCGCTGTTTGTCGAAGTAGACGGAGGGAGGCGGCAAAAGGGACACTTTGCGTTGAAGAAAGAGGCAGTCCATCTAGATTCCTTCGCAAATGATGCAGTCCGAGTCCGTCCCTTGCCTCCTCCCTTCACGGCCGCATTGCTCACCTTTGTTCAAGCCTTCTGAATTCCCTGTCTTGGCCTGTTACTTTGAGAAAAGGTGATGGTACTGCTCAGCCTTAGATTGCGCTCGACATGTCTGCATCACGCCTTGTTGTAGAGGGTCGAACGTGGCTAGTCGGAAATGGAAGAGCATCCATTCAACAGTCCATCTGCTACTGTGCATACCAAGCACAGAACGCAGCCATTCCAGTTGTGCAGGCTAGCCAGAAGCTGGCTGGATGTGCTGCCCGACCAGCGTTCCAGAACAGTGTCCGGATCTTGGCAACTGTGGGGCGGTGAGCTTGTTGTGGATGTCATGATGCTTACTGAACAGTATTGCAACTCCTATCTCTTTCTCGTGCTTTCGAACGGCGCCTTGCCGCAGCCATGCGCTTTCTCCATGTTGTCGCTTTCCCGAGCTCTCGTCCCAGGTCGTCTCTGCACTGATTTTCGTAACTCTCGGGCCTCATCCGGCCTGATGTCCCCCTGACCTACAGCGCCCAGGACCGGCCGCCCGAGTATGCCCAAGACATCACCGAGGTGGGTTTCTGGAGTCGGCTCGTGTTTTTACTCGTGTGTTTATGGTTTGAGATTCAAAGAAATGAACCCAAGAAAAGGAGCCTCTGAAAATCGGAAAATGGTGCAAGAAGCCACGTGTGTGTGTGTACCGAAGCTCAGTATACGCCTTCGTACAACGAATCTTTCCCTTTCCCCACGTAAGAAGCACAAGTCCAAGCCCAGGTGCCTGAGAGTTTGGTTCTCAATGTTAAGCTGGGTTCTTAAACAGCCTGTCTCAGAGCTCGGCAAGCAGGCAACCTCTCCAGAACGGATTTTGAGGACTTCCCTCTGCCCGAAGCCCCCCTCCCCGCCGTTCCTAAACAGAGGCCCCACAGCCCCTGCACCCTGAGCCCTGAAGCCCTGAAGCCCTAAACCCTAAACCCTGAACTCCCTGAACCCTAAACCCTAAACACTAAAACCCCGAAGCCCCCGAAGCCCCTGAAAAGATCTCTGCTCTTGCGGAGGCGACCTCAGTCTTCCTTGAAGATCCTCAACAGGTGCGCGTCTCCGCCTTTTTTTAGGGACCGCCGGAAAGGGCTGTTGGGCTTCCGGTATGCAAAAAAGCGCAGCCGCAAAACGCAGGTGGCGCAACGATGAAAACGCGAGCAAAAGTCTGTCAGGCCGTAATGGCCGCGGATTTAGGAGCTGTTTTGAGGGAGAATGAATGAGCACGGTCGGCGTGGTGTGCCCCCTCGGTCCGGTGGCACAGGCGCCGAAGGCATGTGGCAAACGCACAGGCGGAGGATGCGGAGCTCTGGCAGCTGGCGGAGTTGCGACTACGACATGCACATCGGTTCCGCTTGCTGTTGCAAGACCACGGATTGAAGAAGCTCTATCGTTACCTGGTGGCTGCCGGATGTGCTTTGGAATCGATGTGCGGCTGAAGCAGACCTTCGCACCCGGGTCGTCAAGGCGAGTGGCGAGCTGCGGAATCATTGGTGATGGTCAGTGCGACGTGCCTCTCGACCTTGGGCTTGGGGACATGGTCACACCTGTGCCGTGAAAGCGAGCTCTTTTATTTCGGGGACACAAAAATTCTTAGTTCGATGTCGAGTTTTGCACGTCTGCAAAAAGTGACAAGCAGTATGCAGTTTTTCGAGTGTGCAGTTTCTGTTCGCTTTCAAGTTCAGCTTCCTTTGGTTCACGTGAAAGCAGCCGAGCTCCGAGGCCCGAGTGTGAAGGTTTTTCGCTAACCCACCACTCCCGCCCGTGAGTCGCGCTGTTCGTTCAGAACGGAGGTCGCGAGCCAGGACTTTAACTTTAAGGGTCCAGGTTCGCAGGCTACGAAACCGCTCCCAGACTTTCGGGATGGGAAAAGACGTCCGAGAGTCGCAGCGAATACTTTCGCTTGTTCGTAACGAAGTGGTGCTTGTCACCAGGCTTCAAGTCTTCAAGGCTCTGCTTGACCCGCAGGCCATCGGCGCACCCACCCCCGATCCAAAGCAGTAGGTGCTGCGGCCACGCCTTTGTCGAGTTGGCTCGTAGTTGCAGGTGGTTGCCATGCAGAACGACGAGCTCGCTGCCTTTCCGTGCACGCCTTGCAACCTCAATTCGTGAGAGACGCACAACTAGTTCCGAAGGTCCTTGACGGTGTGTGAGCATACAAGCTGTGAGCGTGTGCATTTAGGGCTTGACCCAGTTTGTGTTGGCGGGAAAAACCGGACGTCTTTAGCAGCTCTGCCGGCCAGGGCTTAGTGGTAGCGGAGCCCGAATTTGGGACTTCTGCGGTTGATTTCGCCGCACTGCTCGATCAGCCGCTTTTACCTCCCCTGGCAGCTGGTCGCGTGATTTCTTTGAATCTTGGGGGGGGTCTCCTTCTGAACGGCGACCTCGAGCTGCCCTTGGGAAAAGGGCTTTCCAACACGGCCTTGAGGGCGCAGGGGCCTGGACAGTCAAGCTGCCTTCTTCCGGGCTGCTCATTTGTGCCCTTTTTGCTTTTGGAGAGCCTGGAAGGACCCTTCTTTGTGACTACCGCTTCCTTTGTTCGCGGGCTGCCTGGACTGCTCCAGCTTCTTTGGCCCCTTCTTGGAGGCGCTTTGCCGTGGGGCGATTTTGGCTGGAACTAGCCGGCCCTTCTTCGATTTCTTTGAAACCGAGACCTGTGCCGGGACCTTTGGCAGCAGCTAGGCAGCCCTTCGTGGACAGCCCTTTTGAAATAGTTTTCTTGCGCTGGAACAGTGGCCGATGATGACAAAACGACGTCATCATGGTACAGGGCCGTGGGACGGAAACCCCACTACCTGGCTTAGCTTCGGACGTGAAGTGCAATGGTGGCTGAGTTTGTTAGACTAGAAGTACAATCTGGTTGCGAGGTGGCTGCCATCGACACAGGTAGCAGGGTGCTTGGACTTTTTTGAAGGCTCTCACCTTGTCCTGGTAGAGGGCCGGGGCTTCCTGCAACTCTTTTCCAGCCACCGGGTCCACAGCCATGGCCTCGTTGACATCGAGCCAGGTCTTTGCGTCTGAGCAGTTCCACCATGCTTTCAAGGTCCTCGGTCCACCATTCGGCTTCAAAGGAGGCCCAGTAAATTCCTTCTTGGCCATCAGGCACGCGTCTGCCAAAGCAGGTCTTCTTCTTCTTCCTGATCCCGAAGCGCCTTCTCAATCCGGTCAAATGAAACCTTTCCCATTCTTTCTGGATCTGGCCCGGCTGAAAAGTCGGCCATCACAACCAGCTGGTGAAGAAGTTGAATGAAGAGGCCGCAGAGAAGCAAGCCAAAGGGAAGAAGGACCCACGGCGGAAGGGTCGTTGCTGGGACCTCGCGAAGGTTTGCCGGCACTGAAGGAAGCTGCTGAGGCTCGCAAGCTTGCTTCAGGTGAAGCCCCAAAAACACACGGTCGAGAAGCTGAAGGGCAAGTTGCACCCCATGGTGGAGGCGCTGCGAGGCCTTCCCCCGAGCAACGTCCGAAGTGACTCCCAAAACGGAGGATCGGCGGAGCGAGCTCTTCCAGACGGCCGGTGCACCGCATGATGGAGGCGCGAGACCAGCGAATGGAGGCGCTGCTGCAGCACAAACCATGCAGCGCATGATGGGAATGGCGAGTGCGCAAGGAGTTGGGGAAGGTGGCCTGTCAGGAGGACCTGTGATGCCACGGTTTCGGCAGCACCTTAAGAATGGCCAGTGTTTGTTGATCACGCAGGCCTGGAAGACTGCTGGCGTGAACGGCAACAGCTCCACCTTGCCGTTGCGGATGCGCAGGACTATGACAATACTGTGCGAACCGCTTGTGGCGGCGATGGAAGACTGAGCTGGCCCGGTGTGGGCGACCATGTGCTGCGAGCGGCTTTGCCAAGGGTATTCTTCAGGAGCCGGCCGAAGCTCTACTTTCTGCTGCATGCTTTCGACCCTTCGCCTTTGCTGAACTTTGCCGCGGCCACCGCCGCGCACTCCAATCAACACAAACAATTGAAGGCCGAGGCTGCAGTGAATTCGCAAGCTTTGGTGCCGGACCGCACCCGTTTGCTGGAAGGGCAAAAGTTTTGGGATGAGCTTGGTGCTTTCGAACTGGCAAGGGGACTTCGAGTGCCAAGATGGCAGCCGCTCTCAAGCACAGCCTGGCCGAGGACCTAGGACCTAGCGGACTAGCAGACCTAGTGTCGGCTGTGCTCGTGAGCATGCGCGGTGCTTAAGGGCCGAGACTTCCTTGTGCGACGGCTCGGACGATACTGGTGATAGCAGGCGCTTCTCGTCAAGCCGTCTTGACGGCAGTTGAGGGGCTCTGTTTGTGAAGGAAAAAAGGCCGCCAATGGCTAGGTCTAGGTGGCTGGCTTCACTTCCGGGACAACGTGAGCGTGGAGACCAAGCGGGCATTGACAGCTTGGATGGCGTCGATGCTGTGGGCACCCGCATCTCTGTGCTGCACGCTGTCACAATGTTCCAGATGGCGTCTTGGTGGAGAACAAGTCGATCGCCGAGGTGATCCGGTTCCTTCGGGAGCTGTGGGCTGTGGGCGCCTATCTTCGGGATGCCGCGAAGCTTGGTGTGTGATCAAGCGCGTGAGTCTATCAGCGTAGACCTTGAAACCTTTTGCCGAGGAGAGTGGCGTCTGATAGTTCAGACAGGTGTGCAGGCACCGTGGGCTGAAATGGCGGCCTGCGCCCAACCGCTGAGCCACGTGGACGTGGCAGACAGCGGCTTTTAAATTTGCACTTATGCAGGCGGCTGTTGGGAGGCAACCTTACAGTAACCAGAAAGTTGGAACATCATTATCCTCGTGCCCTTAAGGTAAAGTCTAAAGGATCCTAGCTAGCACTAATCGTCCTAATCCATGTTCCAACTTTCTGGGGTTTACTGTGCTTTGCAGCCAGGAGACATTGAAGAGTACACGTGTGCAAGGCTGGTGGCCGTGCGGGAGACGGCCAAGATGGCGATGCTGCGGCTATACACCTCAGCCGTGCACGCCATTCGTCGAGCAGCGGCAAGCTGGCGGGAGGCGATGAGAAGTACAGTTGTCGCTTGGGGCAGAAACAAGCGCTGACTTGTGCTGAGAAAATGGCCCTGCAACCGGGGCGCAGAAGATTTTGTCTCGTTCGTGACAATCAAGCTGGGCTGGTCGAGGATCAAGTGCATTCTGATAGAGGGCTTCTGCTAGGACCTAGGAGCCTCTCTTAGAATGTTCCTGTGCCGTTTGGGGCTCGTCTAAGTGAAGCTGTGGCGAGGTGAGCCGGCGAGCTTGGGAACAGCTTCGGCCACACCGCCCGGTTCGAGGAGGCCTGCTACTTTGTTGGGACCGGTGTGGTGCGAGATCAGTGGGGCGTGCGCCTTTTCGCCGAAGCGAAGGACAATCCGTTGGGTACACAGAGCCGCCGGCAGAGACTGGGGAGGACTTGAGGGTTCCAGGCGCCAGCGCCGTGGTGAAGTTGCAAGTTGAGGCAGCTTAAGACCGTGAGAGCGGATTGTGCTTTGTGAGGCTCGGGACCACGGCGCTTGGACGCAGGCCTTTGCGAGCCGAACCCAATATGGCGCCCACGTCAAAGCTGGGATGAGTAACGAGGGGCCTTGCAGCTTGCAGCCGTGATGCTTTTATGGTGCACGCCGCTCGAAGTGGCTGAAGTGACTGGGGGTGTTTGGGTCTCAAGAAGTCGCGAGGTGCCCAAGGTCCTCGCCCCAAGATAGTCTACACAGACAAAATCGTTTGTGGACCGAGGAGAACCGCAAGTTGATTGTTCCGAACAGCAGCTCTTGCGAACACATGTTATCCACGTCGTGCTCGCTTTTGAATCCCGCGTTGGACACATGCATGCCGAAGACCACCAAAGGAAACTATTGTCCAAACATAGCATGTGCAGTACAAGTTGAGGTCACCGTGCTTGAGGCGCGCCAGGAGCTTTGAAACCGCAGAATCAAAGGCGGAAGAGCTGATTGCCGTTGCATGCTTGAATTTCTGACACGAGAGATCTTGATGATCAACATGCTGATTCAGCATGTTTGTGATCTGTATCCTCGCAAGGACCCGGGGTGACTTCATCCCTGGAGTAGGCTTGTCTGTGAACAACATGAGTGGTCTCGGTCCCTACATAAACCCATCCCTGTCAGCATTGCTTTGCTTGTGCCGGGAAAGCGAAATTCCATTCGTTGATGGATGATGAAACACCTTCATGAACAGAATGTGCTATTGATCGCAACACACCAGGTCAAGCGGCACATAGAGACCCACACGAGCCATGAGCTACCAGTATGAATGCAGGCAGCTTGACCGCGGCGCGCAGCGTTGTCGTCAGTCGGAGAAGGCCCCAGGCTCTTGGCATGAAGACCAACCGGCGAAGAGTGCCGTGAGAGATCACGATCCCCACGCCGCTACCGTCAACCCGACCGATGCTGATGCTCACCGACGCATGAGCACCCCTCCTACCATGACACCGCGCAAGACGTCATAATCATAACTCATAACATTAAGCCAGCGTTCCACCCTCTTTCATGCAGTATTAACCCTGAACTGCGGCAACAGGTTGCGAAACTTTGGCGTGAGCAAGGGGTGTCATTCATCACGGTAAAGCTGGTA